TAAAAAATATAGACATTAATATTTGTTAAATAAAATATAACAATATTATTTGAAGTTGTTCAAATAATGTTTTTTTATAAATGGAATATAAAATTCTTGGTTCATTTTAGTAATAAAGTTTAGCTAGAGTCGAAGAAAAAATGAAACGAACAATTACTATTTTTTTAAAAACAGATTATTTTGAATATTAATTATTGAAAAGGTTAATTGAAGTCTGTAAAAGAAATTTTTCAGTTATATTTTGTTTGGAGTTTATATTAAATTCAAGACCATCTTAAAGTTTATTGGATTGAGAATTGTAGTTTGAAGCGATAAAATTATTAGGTTACTATTGAAGAAATAATTAGTGACTAATAGTATTCGAAAGTAAGTTAATTACATAAATTAACTTGAAATATGTTATACTAGAAAGTTTTGGAATTCACTCAAAATATCACCTAATTATATAAAGAGTAAAACAGTTAAATATTTTAGATATAGAGATGACTTAAGTCTCATTCTATGAGTTTCATCATATATTCCAAAACGATTTAGAAATACTTGGTTTCACCGCTGCACTTGTTATAGTGAAATATATATGTTTTTCCTGTTTATATACAGTTTTTACAATTAATTAATTGATAAGCTATTTTATTAGTGATTATCGGTTAAGATAACTATTCGATTATAATTGCAATTATACGGGTAGATGGAAATTACAAAAATTAATAATAATATTTTGCAGTTATCTTATCAATATTATTCAAAATTAAAAAATATATATAAATACATATATATATATATATCCACAGATTGACATGTATATATATATATATATATATATGTAACAGCTCATTTTCTTGCAGAATTCACTCCCTTGGAACGATTTAGTTCGACCTAAAAAGAAAATCCAAATGAATTTAAATTTAATCGAAATTCGGAAAGAAATTGTAGAAAAATATCCAAATAAAATATCGTTTTAAAAAGGAAAAGAAAAAAAAAGGTCTACTGATGATTTGTACAGCAGATGATGATTGAGTAATTGATAAATTAAGGGGAAAAAACAAAAACAAAAAAAGGTACTCGAAGACAGCTGGTGACTGATACACATCACGCTACCAAACTCTCAACCTCCGTTTTTCCTCCGCCGCCTTCTTCGCCGGTCGCCTTCCTACTCGCCGGCGGAACCGCCGCATACCTCGTCGAGAAGCTCCTGAACCTGCCGTAATCCTCGTCCACATCCCCATCTTCCACAACAGGACCTTCGTCGAAATTCAAAGCGTAACTCAACGGATCGTACTGAAATTGCCCGTGCCCATGACCTTGCCGATCGCGATCTCCTCCGCCGCCGCAGCATCCTCCGCCGTAACGGTGTTTGTTCCGGTTGAATCGGCGGGGG